TGTGGGGCTTGAACCCATGAACCATGAGATCATGACCTGAGCCAAAGTCCAATGCTTAACCAACTGAGCCATCCAGGTGCTTCTCCTCTGCTCTCTTTTAAATTTTTTTTTTTTTCAACGTTTTTTATTTATTTTTGGGACAGAGAGAGACAGAGCATGAACGGGGGAGGGGCAGAGAGAGAGGGAGACACAGAATCGGAAACAGGCTCCAGGCTCTGAGCCATCAGCCCAGAGCCTGACGCGGGGCTCGAACTCACGGACCGCGAGATCGTGACCTGGCTGAAGTCGGACGCTCAACCGACTGTGCCACCCAGGCGCCCCTCCTCTGCTCTCTTTTAAATCTGTGTTATCTACTGCAGCCAGAGTGGTCTTTTCTGACCTGGAATTCTGAGGATTTTGAGCACTCTGCTGAGCTTAAACTTTGGATAACCATTACCTCAGGATGAAGACCTAAATCCTTAATAAGGCTCACCTGCTTCTCCTGCCTCATCTCAAACTACAACCCCTCTTTACTCCCCATCTCCCACCATCTTCCAGTTTGCTTGGCCAATTAGTTTCTTGAAGACATCATACTCTTTCCCATCATAGCATCTTTGCATGTGCTTTTGTTTTCTTCATTGTATATTTCTTCTGCATACAGGTTAGTATTTCATTTATCCCTTCTCTTGGTCCTCATCTTCTCTGAGAGGATGATCTTCTTGACTCATTCAAATCCCCTATTATGTGATGGTATCCTGTGCTTTTCTCTGAGAGGATTTATTACAACTCTGTTTTTACATTTATATTCTGGATTATTGGATTAATGTCTCCCTTTCTAGTGTGTAAGCTTCAAGAGAGTAGGAGGCAGCTGTGTTTCTGCTTATGATTTGTATTCCTGGGGTCTGCCATGATGACAGACACAGGATAAGTAGATAGTAAACCCTAGAAAAGACAAGCAAATGAGCAGTTCTGTAAAATGAAAATCAGAATTATATTTATTTTTTTTTTAATTTTTTTTTTTCAACGTTTATTTATTTTTTTGGGGACAGAGAGAGACAGAGCATGAACGGGGGAGGGGCAGAGAGAGAGGGAGACACAGAATCGGAAACAGGCTCCAGGCTCCGAGCCATCAGCCCAGAGCCGGACGCGGGGCTCGAACTCACGCACCGCGAGATCGTGACCTGGCTGAAGTCGGACGCTTAACCGACTGCGCCACCCAGGCGCCCCCAGAATTATATTTAAATATAATGACATGACAATATCATGGGGATCACTTGACCTTTGGAATTGCTTTTGGATTTTTATACTCCAGTTCATTAACTCAGGAGCATCGTCCCTGTGATGCAAACTGAGTCTTTAAAGTATTCATATTATTTAGTACAGGGAAGACCTTTTGAAGTAAAAGAAATGTTTCTGGAAGACATCTTAAGAACTACTGGATACACAAACAAAGAAATGTTAAAATACAAAAAGGAAAAACAACGAGGTAAGCTTTTTATCAAACAAACTTAAAACAAAAGTACTACTAATACTAAGTTTTTGGTCTTATCCTGTGGAGGTACAAGGACACTTGAAAGTATTTTTCCCTTGCACATAATTGTATAAAATCATATTAGAGTTTGGTCCCAAGTGTACCTGCTACGTGGTGGTTTATGTCCATAAATTATCATCTATAGAGAGGAATTGAAAGTGGATGCTGGGGTGGAGGAGGGTGAGTGTGTCTGTATCCAGAGATGCAGCCACTGTTTTAAGGAGGCCGAAGACTATGTGCTGCCGAGTGTTTGACATGCCGCATAAGGTAAGAATGCGACCCGCCACAGCACATTGCACAGGACCCGGATGGGGAGTAGGCAGGAGGTGTTGAAGGGAGTGGCATGTGAGTAGTAACAGGTTCATCTGTGATACAAATGCCAGGTTTTCAAATCTTGATTTCGTTATGAATTGCATCTGTGCTTACAACTTAGTGTTATTTGCCCATTAATACATCTCTTAACACGACTTACAGTATATCTCAGCTTTGGAGTTAGGGTGAGATTCTTCTTGGTTGCTTTTTTTTTTCCGATTTTTTTTTAATGTTTATTTTTGAGAGAGAGAGAGAGAGAGAGAGAGAGAGAGAGAGCATGAGCAGGGGAGGGGCAGAGAGAGAGAGAGGGAGACACAGAATCTGAAGCGGGCTCCAGGCTCCACTCTGTCAGCACAGAGCCTGACGTGGGGCTTGAACTCACTAAGTGAGATCATGACCTGAGCCGAAGTCGGACGCTTAACCTACTGAGCCACCCAGGCGCCCTTCTTCTTGCTTACTTTTAACTTCATTATTCGCGATATGAGATTTGGCTTCAAGCTTTGCTTCCTTTGTTTAGTCTGTGTGACCTTGGACAAGAATCTTAAGTTCTTTGGATTCTCCACTTGAATAAAAGCAGTAGGAATTAGCAATTCCTATTTCATATGTAGATCATAAAACTAGTAGATCTCTAAGCTTTTGAAGGTGAAAATTGTAGATCACTTGTACCTCAAACAACTGGCATGGTGGTAGAAGTTCAATGAATGGTTTTTCTACAAAGTGCTGTTTGAATATTAGTCATTGTTTTAAGCAATATTTATAGTATGGCTCAAATAGTTTTCTTGAAATTTGGACTGACTTAGAAATAAACTTCTCACCAATAACGTGGAATAGATGATGTATTTAAGCATAAACATTACTGGATGTTTCTCATTAATGTATTTTGAAAAAATAAAGCCAACTTTGAAGTATTTTCAGATTCACTTAATTTTTAAAAGCACAATATATTCCCCAACGTGAAGCATTTGTGTACTTTTTTGTTGTTGTTGTTACTAATTTAGAAGAGAAGCAACAAACTACTCTTACAGAATGGTATTCGGCTCAAGAGAATACATTCAAGCCTGAATCTCAGAGGCAGAGAACTGTTCCGAATGTGACTGAAGAGTATGATTTGTTGGATGATGGTGGTGATGCTGTCTTCAGCCAGTTGGTAAGACCTTGTTGATTTACACTGATATTTTGAGTGAAAATTGTGTAGTTTAAAGAACATCTTACGAGATTATAATATGTTACTGAATTATTACAGTGTAATTCTCTTAGTTTATCTTAGGCTAAACACGTTTTTCAGAAAAACTTTCTAACACACTTTTTTTGGCAAATAATGCAACATTTTTTATTTTATATGAATTTAAATTATTTCAATATTTTCTCTGATTTTTTTGAAGACAATAAAGATATTATGGATATATGTTATCATTGCCTGATATTTTATCATCTCAAAAGTTTTTTTTATTAAAATTTTTTTAATGTTTATTAATTTTGAAAGAGGCAGAACATGAGTGGGGGAGAAACAGAGAGGGAGACACAGAATCCAGAGTAGGCTCCAAGCTCTGAGCTGTCAGCACAGAACCCAGTGCAGGGCTCGAACCCATGAACCGCAAGATCATGACCTGAGGCAAAGTTGGATGCTTAACCCACTGAGCTACCCAGGTGCCCCTATCATCTCAAAAGTTTAAGAACCTGTGAGCTGAACAATGTAAGATAAGTTCAGTTAAGAGAAAATTGAGAAAAAACTTTTGATATTAGAGCCCATAGTCAATACTGGTGTTGTTTCTACAACCAACCAGCTATGTGACTTTATAAAATCAGTTACCTGCTGTAGACCTCAGTTTATTCTTTTCTTCTGCTTTTCTTTTTTCTATTTTGCCACAGAATGTTTTACAAATGAAATATTTTGTAGAAGCCTTGCCTGCTCGTCTTTACTGTCCACTCCCATCCCTACATGGGGCTTCTGCTACCTTGGGTTCCATTGAAACTGTTTGAATCCAGGTTGAAAACTGGAACTAGCTGATTTCCTAGGTCCCTTCTGGTCTTTAATTCTGGTTTAGAATTCTTTAAAAGGCACTGGTGATTAGTGTGATGCAAAATATTGCTGGGCCTATGCACTTTTTGGAAAAAGAATTTAACTGTTTTGAGCATGAGAAGGTACATATGCAGGTGCATTTGGTTCAGTGAATAGCCTTTTGACCATTAAATCAGTGTTTCTTGGGGCGCCTGGGTGGCTCAGTCAGTAAGCGTCCGACTTCGGCTCAGGTCACGATCTCGCGGTTCGTGAGTTCGAGCCCCGCGTCGGGCTCTGGGCTGACGGCTTGGAGCCTGGAGCCTGCTTCCGATTCTGTGTCTCCCTCTCTCTCTCTGCCCCTCCCCCACTTGTGCTCTGTCTCTCTCTGTCCCTCAAAAATAAATAAAAGGTTAAAAAAAAAATCAGTGTTTCTTAAGCCTGGTTGCACATGAGCATCACCTCAGGAACTTATTTTATTTTATTTTATTTTTTTAATTTTTTTTCAACGTTTTTTATTTATTTTTGGGACAGAGTGAGACAGAGCATGAACGGGGGAGGGGCAGAGAGAGAGGGAGACACAGAATCGGAAACAGGCTCCAGGCTCTGAGCCATCAGCCCAGAGCCCGATGCGGGGCTCGAACCCACGGACCGCGAGATCGTGACCTGGCTGAAGTCGGACGCTTAACCGACTGCGACACCCAGGCGCCCCTCAGGAACTTATTTTAAAGCCCTTATGGAATCTTGCCTCCACCAGCAGAGGTTCTCATGAACTTGGCATCAGTGTTGAAATACACCAGTGTTGGCCTCTCTGATGTGCAGCTGGGAGAGAGAACCACTGGTGTACAAGTATATTTAGCAACATTTTGCTAGAAACACACTTAGGTAATATTTTGACTGAATCATGCTCCTTTGGTTACAAACTCATTCTCAGATGAAAGATACATGTAAGAACAAGATACGATATTGTAAGTGGAGTGTGTGTGTTCAGATGAGAAACTTTTATGTCAAAGCCTGTGCTATTATATTATATGTGGTTAGTAGTTCTTGTGGCCATTGTGTCATCTCATATTCTTTGCAAGCAAAGGTTAAGCTGTCAGGTAATTTATAACCTCTGCTTTTGTTTTGTTTTTTAAAGACAGAAAAAGATGTGAATTGCCTTGAACCATGGTTAATAAAGGAAATGGATGCTTGTCTTTCTGACATATGGCTACATAAAGATGTCGATGCCTTCGCTCAGGTCTTTCACCTTATTTTAACTGAAAATGTTAGCGGTATGTATAACTTCTTAAAAATATTTTTTTTTACTCTTACAGTTATTTATGGTGGAAATGTAGTTTAATTCAGCATGTATGTACTACATTTGTTGTTCACAACCAATAATTTGTTCTTTTGGAGTACTTATTTCAAATGGACAAATCAAGATCTTATTAGCATAGTAGAATAAATATTGTGTTAAATCAGGGATTCTTTTTTTTTTTTTTTTTTAATGTTAATTTTTGAGAGAGAGAGACAGAGCATGAGTGGGGCGGGGGAGTGGGAGTGGCAGAGAGAGAGGGAGACACTGAATCTGAAGCAAGCTCCAGGCTCTGAGCTGTCAGGGTAGGGCCCGACATGGTACTCGAACTCATGAGTTGTGAGATCATGACCTGAGCTGAAGTTGGACGCTTAACCGACTGAGCCACCCAAGCGCCCCTAAATCAGGGATTCTTAATCTAGTAGTCTTCAGAATAGCTATGTGGGGGTCTGTGAATATATGTGCAGTTATGTGCAGAGGTATTTTTCTGTATATATATTGTACCCATATTTCTGTATATATATTGTACCCATAAATACATGTTCCTTCCCTCCCAAGGGAATATCTTTGGTTTTTTGAAATTTATGATTTCAAAAAAGGAAGGAAAAAAAGATTGATAACTTTGCTCTAGATTTTGTATTTAGTAAGTGGAGAATTTTAACATACCGTTAGTTATATAAGCTCAAGTACTCATTCACATGCACATGCTTTATGTCATGTGATACGTTTTCATAATGACCTAGCCTGATTTTGTTAGTTGATTATAGTGACTACTGGTAACCAGAGGTGAGTTTCAGAACTCTGAAGCCTTCTAGGCAAAAGACAGAATGAAAGGCCAGAGAGTCAGTACTGGAAATGATTTAGATGTCAAGTGGTTTATCCCCTCAACTAAACTTCTCAGTGTTATTATTATTATTATTGATCACTCCTTTCTTGAAACATTTCCTTCAATCAGCCTATCCTATTCCAGCTGGAACTTCTTGGTTTCCTTCGCAGAATCTTCCCTTTTCCTGACCTCTAAATATGCAATGGCCCAGGCCTCAGTCCTTAGGCCTTGCTTCAGTTTACACGGACTCCTTTTGTGGTTCTCATCTAGTCATAGCTTTAAATACTTATTGTCTCTTAGTGACTAGCTTCAGGTACAGTAGGTCAATCAGCCTAAAAATCTTTACTCTTTACTTACATCAATTCAGCCTATGGTTAGTATAGCTCGTTGCCAACCACATTGTCTTAGTGATTCATATCACCTTTAAAACTTCTAGTTCTTTTTTTTTTTTAACATGGGATTTTGTTAAATGAATGCCCCCTATCATTTACATGTTGTTTTGATTTTTTTTATTTTTAGTTTTTTTGAGTTTTTAAATCTCATAATTAGATTTGGCCCATTGGTTTTGGTTAACAACCCCCCTCCCCCCGCCCCCGCCACCCAGTTCTAATTGTTACCTAGTGTATTAATAAACCTTCTCAGTTTATTAGCTCAGAAGGCCTGGGTCAATGACCATGTGCTATGTATGCTAGAAGAGGCTTTAGGTCAATATTTAGGTGTAGTTGTTCAAATGGTTATAATTCCATAATGTACTAATCTAACAGACCTCTTAAGAAGGAAATGAAGATCTTTGTAAATTTAGTTTGATCTACTTTTTTTTTTCCAGTTTATCAGTCATTAAAAACATAATCTGTATTTTGAAAAGTAACTTTTTGTATTTGGAAATGTGAACATTTGTTCATCTCCAGTTTTCTGGCAGTCTTTTTTTCTCCAAAAGAGAAATGCCTTGCCATCTTACCTGAAAGTTAGGAAAATTTGAACTCTGAGGCAAGTTGCCTTAAAATATTTATGAAGCATTAATGTATTATTCTTGACCTTCATCCTAGATACTTCTTTAGTGTATACTATTACTTGGATGTCATCATCCTATGCATCCAGGTCCTGCATCTTTATAAAAGTGTCACTGGACATTTTCTAGAGTGAGGTATGCTAGTATTTTAAGCTGTGTGAAGCAAACTAAAATGTTGTAGTAATTCTTTGAACAGTTATTGACTTCCTGTCTTTTTATTTTTCTTCTAAAATCTCAATCCTTAATTGGCACCAGAGTTGAAAATACTTCATGTAATCCAGGAGACCCTGGGCTTCATAGGTTTCTTTTTAATGTTTTCAGTTTCTCCATGTGATCCTGTGGAAGCAGTTGGTAATTAGTAAGATGCAGGCATTCTTTGTCATGCTTATTGTCCTAGTTACCTATTGCTGCATAACAAATCATTCCTAAACTTAGCAACCTGAAACATTTATTATCTCACACTGCTTCTGAGAATCAAGAATCTGAGAGTGGCAAAACTGAGTGGTTTTGGCTCCTAGTGACTCATAGAACAGTAGTGAAGCTGTTGTTAGGGGTTTGGTCATCTGAAGGTTTCACTGGAACTGGAGCATCTGGTTCCGAGGAGGCTCACTGACGTGGCTTTTGGCAAGAGGCCTCCAGTCATCTCTGCTTTTGGCATAAGGCTTCAGTTCGTTGCCATGTGGATCTCTTCATAGGGCTGGCTGTCTTATTCTTCCTAGGATGTGACAGCTGGCTTCTTTCAGAGTGAGTGATCAAAAGAGAAGGAGAAAAAGCAAGCAGGAAGCTGTAGGTACCTTTTAGAGTGAGTTACATAGTCTAGCTCTTACTCTAGGAGAATGGAATTAGGCTCTGCCTCTTGAAGAGAGGAGTACTAAGGAATTGTTGGATACTTATTAATACCCTGCTGCTGAAAATACATACTTATTCGTACCTGCTGCTCAAAAATATACACATTTTGGTTCTGTTCTCCAGGGCTATCAAATGACTATTCAGTTGAAGCTGTAATTCTCTTACAGTGAGTATAGGTCATAATCTTTTCAGACCTTTTTAAAAATGCGTGTGCCTGGCCATCCCAGACTTACCGACTCTGAATCTAGAGTAAATCATGGCTATCTGTGCTTTTAGAAATAAGAAGCTTGAGGTAATTCTCTTCTGAGTCCTCCTCCCCATCTTAAGAACCATTGATTTGTATTAATGGTTACCATGTTGTAGAGTATTATTAAACAATGAGAATAATTGGGTATCTAAAATTTTCCATTTGTACTTATCTTAAATTTTACTGCAGAGGTCCCCCCCCCCCCAGTGGTTCTTTATTTTTGAAATTTAAGCAAACTGGTGCTAAGCAATTTTAATATATTGCATTCCTTGAGACATATATTCTAGGAAAGAACTTGAACTCAATAGACCTTTGTTTTTCTCATGGAGGGATTTTATCGTTTGTAAACTTTCTGCCAATGCTTTATGTCCATTAAACATCTCAGTAAGTAACAGCCTGGAATGGTGGAATGAAAACAAAACGAAAGAACAACAAAAAATGGTCTTGAACTTTGCATTTGCACTTTTAAGCATTCATTACCAGTTGCTGATGAACATTAACTTTTTAATTCTTTGTATTTTGTCATCTGATGATTAAGACCTATCCAGGCTTAGGAAAATTATAAGCGTTCTGCAAGTTACTAGTTTTCCTCTTCTGTTTTAATTATCATGGTGAGCTTAAGACAGCTTAACAACTATCTTTCCTTCTCTTGCCTTCCAAATGATTGTCCCTATTCCATCATTTATTTTTATTTATTTATTTGTTTGTTTATTTATTTATTTATTTATTATTTTTTTTTTTTTAGAGAGAGTGTGAGTGGGGGA